TGGGGTTGTTTTAAAAAAACAAAAAAAAAAAAAAAAAAAAACAGAAGTGACCCAAGTAATGAAACCTGGAAGCTCTTGTGCAGAGTTTGAATCATCATTGGATTTTTCAGAGTAGGGCATATGAAGTTAGGACATATTTTCAGAGTAAAAAACATGGCAAATAAAGCACATAATAAAAGATAAACTGATATTTCCACCGGTAGATGCTCCTCCAATAAGAAATTTAAACTCTTCTTCAACCGGAAAGAATAAGTTTTCACAATATAATATTGAGGTTTTGGTTTTTCCTTGAACTTCTGAAGTAATCCATAGCATGATTTAAGAAGTAAGGCGCTAACATCCCACGAATCCCTACCCTGTGTGCTATACCCTTTTTGATGAATTAATAAATCAATAGGGGTCTATCCCTAAAGCTCACTGTAGAAACATTTCCCTTTTGGCATAAAGGAACTCACATAATAAATTACAGGAGGTAAGCTCTTAACCACCTTAATCTCTCAACATTTACTTTCAATCCAGCTATAGCATCTTGTGCATATTGAAGTAGTTCTTCCCTCTTTCCCTGAAATTAAGAAAGGACAATGGAAAATATATACAAATGTTTCAATTTCTTAATTGAGCATCATGGTTAGTCATGCAAGTGAAATTATCAAAATCGTGCAGTTAAATAACCTTACCAGCACTTCATCATTGTAGATTGCAAAAGATTTTGCCAAATCTTGTACCATGTTTATAATCACAGTATGAACTTCCTTCCCGCCCTCGAGACACATTCTGAATGCAAAACAGAGAAGAGGAGAAGGATATGCATATTAAATTCTTCACCAAGGCAAATGCACAGAAAACTATGAGCAACTTCAAAATCTTCATAATGATCAGTCATGAAGGCCCTTCAGGCCAGACCTTAGAAACTTCAATATATTAAAGTAAATGACTAAAGTAAGAATCACCCAAATATCTCCAGAAGCAAAGAAATTTCCTCTTCATTAGGTTCTTCAAGAATCTGGGCCAGACAAAAGAGTCAGTATGGTTTACCCCAATCAGTTAAAAAGAACAAATGGCAACTTAAATACTTAACTGTACATGCAACGAGAAGGGGCAAAAATGAAGGAAATGATTTAATCATCCCCCCATTAAATTATAAATCTACTCCAGAAAAGTAAGCTATACAGAGCACAAGGAAGAATGGGAGTTTCTTCATTGGAATACAGAAAATAAGAAATGGAAAGAGTTCAGGTTATTCTTAATATGCTAAAACGAAGTATAGAATCTAGAGGATGTGTCTTTAAGAAGAATGAACAGAGAGCCACGGACAAGAAGAATCTAGTAGGGAAAGTTTTAAAATGATTGAGAAGCCCAAATGGCAACTGAAGACTGCTAAACTTACCATGGACAGTGTTATGCCCTCAAGGGCTTGACTGTGAAGGAAAACATCATTAAAGTACATTGGTTCTCCACCAACATCCGGATCGTAGTATAAAACCTGTCCATTATAATAATGAAATACATATATGTGACTTATGCTAACATGGAGAGAACAAAAAGCCAAGAAAGATAACATAGCATTATAGAAAAAATATCCGGACAGGGGAAGAGCGTATAAAATACTATCTAATCGAATCTGAAAATAGAATGGATTGAACATGGCTTTTCAAGGGCACTCAAAGGATATGATTTTCTTGATTTTCATAGCCATAACGAATTTGAGTATCAGCGCATAACAATAGATGGAAACAAATCTGAGATTCCGATCAATTCAAAAGGATCTGTTTGTTAATTACAAGCTAGACAGGTAGGTAACTACTGAGCATTAATCATGAGGACTAAAATCATGGGGGCGTTGAAATTTTTTCTTGTATTGCTTCAGCCTGCAATTGGTAGCCTACAACTCTACAATTTTCAAGACAGTTTGACTGAGATTTTTTCTTCTTTCCGATAAGATAATCTGAATAAAACTGACATAATGGAATTAACTGAGGAATTTTGTGCATTGGTGGAAGACTAAGGCGACTCAAGTTCACCTCTGAAACCTGAACGACAGTAGCTAAATCACAAGAACCAAAAGTGCAATCTACAAGCTTCAAGAGGCTATCACATTTGTTTAGAAAGCTTGTGATTCTTAAGAAATTTATGTAACTTCAGAAAGAAAAATATGAGACACTTCAAACACCCACCGCAGTTGGCTTTGCTGGAGGCCCATTTGATTCATTAGGCATATCAAGATGCTCAGTGTTGCCAGCTTCTTGTAGTCTCTCAATCTCTTTTAAGGCAACCAACCATCTTCTTAGTAACTGAACTCTTTCTGCCCCTCTGCACGAAACAGAAACTTCTTCCAATCTTTTCACCGCAAGCTTAAAGTTTTGGAAATTCCGAGCTGCCTATAGTGCCATGCAATCAAAGACAATAAATATCTTTAACACCTTGAAATAATTTATGAGAAAATAAAAGATTCATAAATAACCGACCTATTCTGAATCCAAATGAATACTAGTGTAAGCATATTCTTTAAGAAAATTTTAGGTAGGTTTATATAAACGATCACGGAAATAAATTTGCTGATATAACGTATATACAAGATGAAAATTAAATTTGTGCTTTCTCTATGTTGTACTAAGTCATCATCCATTGTCCACTGATGCAAAAGGATCTTAGGAACTTCTTCCAACCTTAAAAGGCGTTCTTAAAACTCTTTACTACCATGTAGATACATCGTATCTTAATTTATGATTATACATTTTACAATTCTTTGTATCACATTGACCACAATCACCCTTGTAAAAGTGAAAGTGAATTTCCTGGTCAGGATCAAAGCATAGGTATGATTATATGTCTGAATTATGATTTCGATTTCAAGGATGACAGCTACAACTGGACCCGGACGACTACTTTCCGAGCTGCTATCAATAGAAAAGATTTAACAAACTAAAAAATTCAAGTTATTGCCTCCAATTATAAATAACTTTAAAATAACAGAACTTCTAAAAAGAATTCGACTCTGTGTGTGCATATGCATACATTAGGCAATGAATCTAAACAGTGCAGAAAGTTCAGAGGTTTATTGATAATATGACTGTTGCAGATTTACTGGAGATATTAAGTGATTAATTAGTGTTCAACACATTTATTCAAGTAAAATGCATTTAATTATCAATAATTTTAGTGCACGCGAACAAGTCGAACATAATCGACTTCTTGTGCGCGTGTATGTATGTGATGTATACATCTGACACACACACATATATAATAAAAACGCAGAGATTAAGATTGGTTGAATTACAATGCGGTCTTGCAATAACTTGGCGCCACCGGCAACGGCTTGGCCGGCCTGTTGGACGACGGTGTCGGCGTAAATGCGGACGGTGCGAGTAAGATTACTGCTACCACCTTTTTCGACCGCTTTGTTCACCGCCGATCGAAGCCACGACATATCCAAAATCTAAATGCACTGATTTGTATAATCACTAAACAAATAGAGTCTAAATGTAGAGGGAAAAAAAATAAAATAAGGAATAAACTGATCAAACATTGGATAGCGAAGAAAGAGGAAGCAAGAAGAGCGTTAGAGGAGTTCGAGTCTTATGCCTTTCGTTTCGCGCTCAACGGTGTTGCGAATTCCCACAAATACCCTCTGCTGCAATGTGGAGGCTGTGTATAACCGGTTAGTTTATACTATCTTGCTAGTCAATGACACAACAATATATGTCAATACATTATTAAACAGTTTTAGAAAAAACGCCCAATTCCACCCTGCCACAACACCCCGTCATCTCACCTCCTGACATTAACTCTGACCAAGGAGCATTATTCTATTTTATAATATTTTCAATAACTAAAATTGGATTGTACAATCAATTCTTTTCGTTAGAAATAATATCATGTTCACAGTGTGCACAAGTTATAATGACCACTTGTTGGACATTGTCACGTTAACTGGTTAAACATTTTTTCTTTTGAAAAGTCCACATTAGCCGATGAAACATTTTTTCCTTTTTAAAAAGTTAAAAAAAATACGACTTGATCGATGATGTGATCATGCCACATCAAATGTGTGCAATTGTTATCCTACTCACAATGGGCATAGATTAACTTTATTCTTCTTGTCTCAATTAGTTAATTCCAAACATTTTTACCTTTTTTTATTTGCATTTAATTTTTGTTCGAGAGGTCACCTGAATCTTGTAGATGATAGAGGAGTTCCAATTTATATCGTTTTCATTTATCCTTCTCTTAGTAAATGTGTGGTGAATATTTTTTTCATAGTATCGTCCAATCCTATGCAATCTTCTCAATCGAACATACCATCACCATATTTTGCAGGAAGAATTTCATAGTATCTTTTAGTCTATGACTGCCCTCGAGACTAAACCACTTATCAATGAACAATCCTCCACCATTTTCAACTTCTTGATCCTTTCGACAACGGATAACCATAAGTCATTATTGTGAAATTGTTCTAACACGTGTTGAGTATTGCGTACTTGAAAGGAAAAAACATCCAAATGAAGGGAAAAGGAAGTAAGAATTTAAGGTAAGCAACAACAAAGGACTGATTTATTCATACAACATCATAGGTTTTTCCTAATGAGCACTCTATCACCTATTCTTCCAACAAAACTGGAGGGATCTGAGAAAAAAATGGTGATGATCGCAAGAATGCTGAGGTGGGAGAATCTGCCAACATCTCTAGCCAGTGAAGATCCGGTGCACACATGGAAGCAAATCATAATAACAAGTCATCAATGGAAGGCAAGGGAATTTTCCGGTAATTCCATGAGTTATAATCTTCCTGAACAGGCAAGCAGTACAAGGAATGTCATTACATGCTGAAAGCTGAAAAATATGTGACATTCTGTTGCATTAGTACCTGCTCGACCAGTGACGTTGGTGGGAACATGTCATTTACCAGAGTGTGCAATGACGTGTATGACTTTACGTCAATACGGTTATTAATGGCTACCTCTCCCTGCAAGTACAAATACATTTATTGTTGAATGTTAAATAAATGTATTTTTTTCCAGTGAACATATAAGAACTTTAACTACCTTCGGGTTAATAATAAAGATCTTGCCCTTTGGGATCCCAATTTTCCGGTAACTGAGTTCGTCAGTGTCTCGGTTTCCAAAACCGGCATAAAATGGATTATAATCAGGAGGAAAAAGTGTTTTGATATCCTGCAAAATGGGTTCTTATATACTTCAAAGAATTGACATATACGGCAGGATAGTACACAAAGCTTGTAACCCTTCTTTAACATTTACCTCTAAACACGCAATCTTGAATTCGTGAGGAGCCCTTCTTATTACTGCCACCGATTAAAATATTTCCATCAGAGACACCAAAAATAAAACCAAGGTACAAAGTGTGTTACCACATGCAGACAAATATTTGATGACGTGCAACAAGTCCTCAGCAGATGGGTATGTCAGCATGCTAGCATCGTTTCTAAATCCAACTTGGCATTTATTCATACAACTCCAAAGAGCTCTAAAATGGAAACAAGCTCAAAAATAATAGCTATTGAGGAAAGTCCTAAATATAGTTTCTTCTCTTTTCCCCAAGATTTTTCACCAAGGACTTCAAACTAGCATTTGCCCTTTAAAGTGAAGTTCTACCGCAAGATAGAAACGACTACAGTTACTAAGTAGAAATATTGATCCCACGAAATGTATGGATACTAATTGAGTAGTAGTTGTGAATGTGCGGTTAAAGTTAAATTATAAGTAACTTTTTAGGTTTCTGCAATAAATTCTTCATAAGCTTACATGAGAGCAATGAGATTTTTGAGGGAAAATTACATACCAACCCAATTCTAGTACAACGAGAAAGTCCCCAACCTTCAACGTGCAGCAACTGATTCTGCAAGCTTTCAATTTTTGTAGCATGCAGGTCTCTAATGAATGGTTCCCGTCCATTTGGACATTAAAATGTCATGTGACAATCACACGACATTTCAACATCCAAATAGATGAAACCACGTGTTTGGCACCCATGTGCTATAAAATCGAAAGGTTGGGGATCCAGTTGCTACAAAAATTGCAGGTTGGGACCCTACTTGCTCTGTTTAAAATAGGTTGGGGACCACATCGGTAATTTTCCCACTTTTTGGAAAAGTCAATTGAGTTTCCTGTCCAAGTGATTCGCTGCAGTACATAAAATTCATTAACTTCTAATGCTGTGCATTACTCACCACTTCAATGAAGATAGTGAGCTAATGAGTGGTCCTCCAAGGAAATGAAACTCACCTTCTCGGTACAATGAAGGAAATAAGCCATCCGGGGAAATAACAACAGGTCCGATGGGTAAGCTTTTGCCATCCTGCAAGTATTGGAACAAATTTCACTTAATGAAATTACATCTACAACCAAATAATAGCATTAAAAATGGCACTAGTGGTGCACTCAAATAAGATGACTTGATAGCATTAACTAGCAGAACCCAACTTAGAAATAAAGACGTGCAAATCAAAATGCTTAACAAATCACACAGAGACCAAATAAATCAAAGAAAACACAGGTTATATGGAAGACTTAAATACATGAAAACATTTTATTGATTGAATATGAAATCTCCTTCTAAAGCTTGAGAAGGTACCATTATGTACTTAAAAAGCCATTAGCACTCAAGATCGGAGTAAGTATACCTGGTTAAGATTGAAAAGAAAACTTTTAGTCAAGTATGATTGAACAATTGCGCGTGCGCTCAGAAACAATAACTGATACCCATTCTCCTGCAATAAAAATGAAACATTTTAAGATTCCTAATAATGCCATGAAGAAATTCTGATAAATATTTAAAAATAAAGATTTCTTGTAAGGTATGAACATCCAGCATGAACAAAATAACAGCAGTGGAATAAAATTGTCATCACAGAAACATCTATATAAGCACCCCGACTTGGAGTAGCAAAACAGACGGATTAACAGATATTCACAGCTTGTGCAAAACTCAATGTTATATTAACTCGGAAAAACTTATGGTCAAGGCTTGAGAAACAAGAGTATAGTCCCAGTTTATTCCTCGGTCATGGACGGACCTTCTGTTGTGCTTCGGTTGAGCCTAGTTAAAAAGGTTACGCATTATGCGTAGGATTCAGAAGTTTCCATTCTTTTTACTAAATAAAGGAAAAACAAAGTTTCAACTGTTATATGTAGATATGTACACACACACACACACACACACACTTTATTAACCAGATTATAACTTCTATAGCAACTACAGTCAGGCATCCAGAACTACATGGGATTGCATGCTCCATTAAAGAAGAAATTAATGTGGTAAGTTCCTAACCTGATCTAATTTGCAACATAATGTGTCGGGTGAAACACTTGAACATAGTATGCTGTATATGCACCTTGGTGCTTTTAGTAGGCTCTATTTTACCAATGCCACAGGCTCGTGTTTTCAGATATAATGAACTTCAATCAGTTATTTATTTTGAATAGAGATTTTATCTTATTGATTTCACCGTTATTACATATGAGATTTTGGAACCCAGTCCATATCAAGCTTCCTAACTTTAAATGCACGCACAATACAAACACAACAATAATTCTTATACATACATGTGTGTGAGCGCGTGCATATTTGGTAGTATAATATTCTAAGTCTTACTGTAAAAGCAACTGTGGATTAAGAGCCCTCTTGTTTAGGCAGAATTCCAATCAATGCAAATGCAATAAAGCAGACGATTGAAACAGTTGATGTGATTACCTTTATTGCACAAAAGAGACGAGCTATTCCAGAATGCATCCAGTCTTTCCCAACCAAAGGCATAAACTGGCCAAGGACATCAGACCTAAAATATAGAAATGGGACTGTGAGTCATAATTGGAAACAAACATTGACATTATGATGCAAGAAACGTATCGACTTGATAATGAACAATAAGAATTGAAGGAGAAAGGGGTTCAAAGAGAAGAATCAAGGGCAAGGAAAAAGTTCTATTCATATATCTCAGGTGTGTTTGTAAACACCACCCTAAGTCACTTTATACAGAGAAGCACTTCAAAATTAAATAAACTTCATATTTAAACAAACTTGAAATAAAAGATAACATTGTCAAAATCAAACTACTATAATCTAAATAACTCAAATTCTACTAATTCTTAGTCTTTCCGGTTGAATAGACTTTTAGTTCTTTCCTTGTTGCATCACATTATGTTCTCACTACATTATCCTTGATTTGCTTGGAAGCATATAGGACCAAGAACCAATACACATCTCTCATCACGGCTTACAAGCTTACATTAGCATGCCTTAGATAAATGTGTTAGAAATTGGTTTAAAATTAAGAAAATTTGGTTAAGTATAAATGTGGAAAAGTGACTTTCGTGTCAACTTCAACCAAATATTTGGACTTGATCCGATAGTCAAATTATAAATGTAAATAAACTAACTTGTTCTACTCGTCGAGTAGATCATCATGGTATATTTGGAATCTCAAAACCAATTTCGAATGTATGAGAAATTGCGGTCCAAAATTGGAAAAAAAATAGAGAAAAATTGGCCTGAATTTTGCCTAACTCCATCGCTCGCCTATCGCTTGAGCGATCGGCAGGCGAAAATTTTTTGTTAAAATTTTAACACCGGCTCTCAAGTGAAAGGCCAACAATAGGCTAACGATAGCAAACGATGATTCCTTTT